CAGCAGCCCTGGCTAGCGGGGTAGTAGCTCCTTCTCCGGAGCACCTTTGCCTGTTCCGCTAGGTCTCTCAACAGCTGGTACAGCGAGCGTAAGGAAAAGACCACGAGGACCAGGCGGGCTTGGGTTCGTCCCGCCTTTGTTGCTTCAAGGCTTGGAGACCTTGGGCGAGTCCTCGGCTCCTCTGAACTTCAGCTTTGCCGTCTGTGACGTGGACAGAGGTAACATCTAGCCTAGGAGGTTGCTGAGGGGCTCGTTTAAGGAGCCCAGGTCTGTAGAGGGACCCGGAAGTGCTTCCTAACCTCCCTGGGCGGTGGTTGATTTCATCCCACAGGGCAGGTGGTCCTTCCGGCCAGGGGGTGTGCACGAACAGTTCACAGGCATCCAGCCCTACGAGCAGGCTGAGTCTTGGGTGCCACTTAATAAGTTACAACACTATGAACGACAGGGCCAGCAAACATACTGTTTAACCTGGACTTTAACTGGAGACATCTCTGTTCTTTCAGGTGATCGGTTCACTGGGGGGTTCTCAGGTCTCCCAGGAGGAGGAGGGATGTAAGCATCTCCCCAGCTCTCCGGGCCCACGCTCTGGTTCTGTGCAGAGGCGACCAGAACAGGGCGGTGTCCACACTGCAGAGCTGCCGTTCGCAGTGGGGCTGTTTGAGCTTAATGTTGGACGCTTCATGTTGGACTGCGCTGTTTAGCCAGCGGTAGTGCCAAGGTTCACTTCCATAATCCGCACGTATTCAGGCCAAGTTCACACCGGCTTCACTGCCTCCTCCCTCACCGCTGCCCTCTCCCCCTCGCCCCTTTCCCCTCCTGCTACAAGACTTCCTCGGGATGAAGAAGAGCTCTCGCCCAGCCTGGAGCTGTGTATGCTTCCGAATCTCCGACTCAAAACCGTGTTAGTGGAGAGGGGAGTCAGCCCCCGGCTGTCTGTGCAGCGGACCTGCGAGGAGAAGGGAGGCCGGCAAGGACAGATGCCACGGTACTGGACAGTCACGACGCTTCTGCTGTCCCCAGCCCCCGGGGAGGGGACGGTCCCGCCACCTGGGCCAGCACTGTAGCCCGCGGGCCAGGTGTGGGCACCTGAACATAAAGTAGCCCAACTCCAGAGTCGGCGGCTTCCTGCCCACTCGTAAACACCCCACCCCAACCAGAGCACCCCACTCCCAGTAAAACCGCATCAGGAGAAGACTCCACAGCCCCAGAGCTCCGCACCAGCAGCACAGTCCTTTCTCCTGACACGTGAACTGGGTTGGGGGGAGGCTGATGCATTGTCCATATGCAGACCTTCCATCCTGCTTCTCGCTCCCACCTTCGTTCGTCCCTGCTGCCCGAGTCCCCAAGCCTCCCGGTCAGAAGACTGACTCCTGCTTCCCCTTCAGCCCCTGACATCATACCACAGGCTGTAATTCCTCTTCCTGTTTCATCTGGAAACCTTCCATGATCAGCTTTGCATGTTCCAGAAATGTGCTGAAATCTCTCATCTGTAATATTCTCTCCCCTTTACCACTCCTTCCCTTTTTCTTTTTTAACTTTAATATCTTGATTTCAGTGGAGGGGGAGGTTCTCAAGTAACAAGAGAAGTAAATTGTGCCAGACCTGCCATTTTGGACCAGAAGCCCATAGAGCCCCCTTCAGCAACGTGAGCTGATCACCTAATGGAAAGCCTGCATCATTAACCTTGCTTTCTGAGTGAATACTGCAGGAGAGTTTTAAATCCATTAATTATCCTTAATGAGTAGTATCTACTCTTTCTTACCTCTCTCTCCACCCCTCTCGGGGGGAAGTCATGAAACCACATGCAAAAGCGTGGACGCTTTGCAGGGAGACAATAGCAGTTATAGATTACTACTGTCCAACTGTATCAGCAATCATTGAGAGCACCATGGCTCTCTCAGGTTCCTGATTAAACATTAAAAATAGAAAGATGACTTGCCTGTGTTTCAAGTGCTCTCATTTTTCCTCTGAATATGTGATTTTTCTGTATATTCATAATAACTAGGACCTACACAGTCTGTCTCTCCTACATGACCGCTAGTGGTGTGTTAGGAATGGTGGGCGATCAGAGAGGTCCAGAGCAGGGAGAGTAGATCTGGAGAGTCCCTGGAGTGGGGCTTTAAGAGGGAGGTGGTCCTTGGGCTCTGGTAAGAAGAGGACTTGCCTCAGCTCCAGACGCCAGGCTAGTCCCATAGCCAAGGAAAATATCGCTCGGGACCCATCTCCTGCTGAAAGTATCAACAACGACAGTTCTCTCCCAAAGTTTAATTTGCTCACTGCGAGGAAGTTATTTTCCAGAAGTGAAGCAGACAGGTCTTAAGCTGTGTCTCATCTTCCATCTCCCTCACCAGCCACCACCACAGTCACTGCATAAAGAAGCCCTTTAGCTGGAGAGATGTGGCTGCCAAGATGTCCCCATTTTCCATGTCCCGATATTTGTGGGATTTCGCTAACCCCATGGGACAGAGAGATTCTTGTTTATTTCTAGAGATGATCTTAGGATGCATTAGTCATGTGGGAAAACTTAGGTTGTCTGTTCATTATGGGAAACTTGTAATAAAATCAATCTGGGTTTTTAGCCTGTTCGATGGAAGCCAGGTCTCCAAATGCAGCTGACTTTAAATGGGTTCTCGAGTGGAAAGACTATAGGCTTTGGCATTACTGTCACTGAAGCCAAGCATGCTAGACAAGTCTGGGGAAACCAGATTGGGATCTAGAGTGGCCAGAAACATTAGCTGCCCTGAGAGGTGAGCACAGGGGACTCCGCTCGTATGAGTCACATGACTAGACTCTACTTGGGCAGAAGAAAAACACATTTTCCTTTAAATGATTAAACTTAGTTGAACTTAGTTCAAGAAAAATGTCTTTTCCTTCTGAATGTTTTTCCCCCCCAGGCTTAAAGAGTTTTTAAGATAAAATTTGTTTTGTTAAAAAGAAAACGTATATTAATAGCTTTCAAATCAGACACATCTGTAGACTCGGGACACCCAGATGACTTCAAATAATGTGTCTGGCCCATCTCCTACATCTGGATGGTTAAGACTGCAGGTCAAAAAGAGAGAGAGAGAGAGAGGAAAAAGGAAGTCAGAAAGACTTCCTTGGGGGTGCCTGGGTGGCCCAGTGGGTTAAGGCCTCTGCCTTCTGCTCAGGTAGTGATCCCAGGGTCCTGGGATTGAGCTCAGCATCAGGCTCTCTGCTCAGCAGGGAGCCTGCTTCCCTCCCTCTCTCTGCCTGCCTCTCTGCCTACTTGTGATCTCTGCCTGTCAAATAAAGAAAATCTTGCAAAAAAAAAAAAAAAGAGAGAGAGAAAAGAAAGATTTCCTTGTCTGTTGATGGAAATGGATTTGAATCCCATGCTTGTCCCATACCCCCACCCTTCCCGCATAAAGGTTTAATCCCTACTCCTGGAGTGATAAAACAGTAACATTTCAAGTCCACGGCTGGAAGAGGTTAGCCAATATTTCACCTGACCTCTTCTGAAATTTATTCAGGATTCTGGTTAATGCCCAGCCGAGAGGGTGAGTGAGACTCACGGTGTTGGCATTTCCTTACTTTGGAAAAGTTGGGTTTTTAAGTAAGTGGGAAAAAAGAGAGGAAGAAATCAAGTCTAAGCACAATACAGACAAGACCGACAGTAACATCCCTCGGGTCGAGGGAGACAGCTTTGGGGAGCCGCCTGTCCTTATCTGGGGGTTAGTTCACTTACAGTAATAAACGTTTTTCTTTTACTATCCCATGACCCAAAGCTAGAATAATGATTTATACCATGGGTATTTCCTTTGCTTTTTTGGGGGGGGGGGTGTTTTTTCTGTTCCCTCTTTGTATAATTGTTCTTTCCTAACAACGATTACTTTTTATGATGGGGTTTTGGATGAGGCGCAGCGTTGGGCCGCGGGGTCTCAGACCCGGCGGGCAGGGGTGGAGGACGGAAGGAGGGCCCGGCGCTTTCCGCGGCGGCGCTCGCCCAAGGGCTGGACGGGCTGTCCTGGAGGAGGGTTGCCCCTTCCCTCCCCCTGTCGCGTTTTAGGTCCGCCCTGACGCGGGAGGGAGAGGGTCTGCAGTCTGCGGCCGGGGGCCACTGCGGCGTGAAGCCCCGGGCGCTAACTTCCTCCAACCTCGGGTGTTCGTACCCATCCGAGGAGTGCGAGGCTCGCAGAGGCGACGTCGCCCACCGCCCACCCAGCCCGGTGGGGGCAAGGCTGTGACATCACCTCCCTGCTCTCATCCCGAGCTCGCGCAGTGCGTTCCATAAAGTGAACACGCCCAGCCGAGGTCGCCCCAAGGCCTGTCGGCGCCCGGAGGGTTTCAGTTCCAGGCGGCGGGGACCTGGCTGACCCGAGCGGTCGCGGAGCCAGAGCCGGGCAGGCGGGCCCGCCAGGGGGTCCCCACCCCAGGCGGGGAGGAGGAGACGGGGCAGACGACTGAGGAGGGGACGCCCCGCCCCAGTGCCCCCGACCCTCCACCCCAGTGCCCCGCACCCGGGTCTCGCTCCCTGCGCCACCTTCCACAGGCTGGGGCCGCGCCCCCGCCTCCCCGCCACCCCTGGCCCTGGCCCTCGCCGCCGGCTCTGGACCCCTCACCCCTCGCTCGGGTCCGCACCCCAAACGCCGGTCGCGCCCCTGCCTGCGTCCCCGCCCCCGGATCGCGTCCCCCCCCCCCATCTCGGCCCCTCACCCTTCAGGCCCGGATCCGCATCTCATTAGCGCCCCGACCCCCCTCCACCGCCGGCGGAACCCGGGTCTGCGTCCCGGTCCCCCCGCCGCCCCTCCCCCTAGCGCCCACGCCACCCCCCACCCCCGCCCAGGCCCGGATCCGCACCCCAACCCCCGGCTCGCCGGGTCCTGCATCCCTGCCCCCAGATCGCGTCCCCCGCACCTCACCGACCCCTCCAACCCCGGCCCCGGTCCGCACCCCCGCCCCCGGCCGCGCCCCCTCCCGCGTCCCCGCCCCGCCGCGCTCCCGCCCCGGGGCCGCGCTCTGGCGGCGAGACACGCCTGCCCGGCGGGCGGCTGGGGCGCCATGGGCAGCGGCAGCAGCCGGAGCGGCCGGGCCCTGCGGCGACTCCGCGGCCCCGACAGCCGGCCGGCGGGGTCCGGTGGGGCAGCCTCGGAGGGCGGGACGCGGCCTCTGGTCTCGGCGACGGCGGCGGCCGCCGGGGAGGAGGCCGGGAAGGCGGAGGCGGCTGAGGGGGCAGCCGAGCCCAACCCCGGCCCCGCGGCGCCCCCCGACGGCGGGGACGAGACCCTGCGCCTGCTGGACCAGCTGCTGGCCGAGTCGGCGGCCTGGGGCCCGGGGGAGCTGGCCCCGCGGGGTCCGGCGCGGCCCCGACCCGCAGCCGGCGCCGGGAGCCCGGTGAGTGTGGGAGCCCGCGGAGCCGTTGGGGCCGCGCCCTGTCCCCCAGCACCCCCAGTCCCCCCAGCCCCCAGCCGCGTGCTTCCTCCCACCCGCCTCCGCGCACCCCCCCCCCGCCCCTCGGCCTGCGCGGCGCCCGTCCCCCTCTGCCCGAGTGTCACCCACCGTCTCTGTGTCTCCGAATGCCTCCGAGATGTCCCGCTGATCACGCGGCCTGTCCTTCCCCAGCACCCCCTCTGATTTTCTCCCCGTCTGCCCCTTCTGGGTGCTGCTCTCACTGTCTCGAGTCTGGGGTGACAGTGCTGGGAGCAGCCTGGAAGAGAGGGGGCGGGGGAGACACACATCCCTTGGCAGAAATGCGTCTCCCAGGCTGTCTTCTGGCCAGAGCTCGCCTTCTAGAACTGTGTGTCTACCCTCAAAGCACAGCATCCCAGAGCCCTTCCAGCCCAGGTGGGAGCTGGCCAGGGATGCTGGCTTTTCTCTCAAGAGGAGGCTGCGAAATGGTGGGGACCGGTAGCCAAACAGTGGTTCACAAATGTGTCAGACACGTCAAGAGTCTTGCCTTGCTAGTCGAGCAATTCACATGCTACTGGCTATTTTTAAGATGCTGTGGAATCTGTTTTTAGCTTCCCGGTCCTCTCTTCCAGAACACTTGTAATAATAGTCCTGTTGTTCTAGAAAAACAGTAAAAACGAGCGCTCTGGTTTGGCAACAGTTTTCTCTCCAGCAGAGCAGAATGAACAAGATCTTGACTCTCAGCTGCCGGGCATGAAGCGGATGCCAAAGGCAGCGCCCCCTTTTCTGGAGCCCGACAGGCTTAACTGCCAGGACCCAGGGAAGTGTCTTCTGGGGGCAGCCAACAAGCAGCAGAATCCTGAAAAGGCCTCCCTGAGGGGTGGGGAGGAGAAGTGGCTCAAATCAGACAGTGCAGAGTGTCTCAGCCCCCACCCCACCCCATCCTCCTGCCTGTCCCCTGTCCCCTGCTACCCTCCCAAAGTGAGCCGCAGTGAGTAGGACTGAATTCGTTCACAAGATTCCTTCAGGACTACGTCACCATTCAGTTATATAACACTAGAAATGGATAAACAGTTGAGAAACTTGGGGGAAATTCTCAGAGAGCATGGAAGCAATCATCTAGTGTCCAAGTTTCAAGCGCCTTGGAAACTCTCAAAGTGAAAACGAGAGGAAAAGGAAAAGAATGGATTTCCCCCTGATACGCTGAGTATCAGTGACTCTCAGGGAGCAGGGCTGCCTTACTCACTGTCCCAGTCATTTCTACGAGCCCAGCACCCCGCTGGGTGCTAAAGCCAACACAGATGGCACGCGGTCCTTGCCCAAAAGCGATTCACAGTCCAGCTGGGGGAGAGAGACAAAAAGCAGAACACAGTGTGCTGAGACAGACTTGCACAGAGCCCACAGGAGGAGGGACCAGTTCCCTGGAGAAGTCAGGGTGACACGCCAGAAGGACGGCCCTTGACCTGAATCTGGAAGGATCTGTGGCCTTAGCCAGGCAGACAAGCAGGGAGGAGCATTTGTGCAGAAGGAACCCTGCATGCGTGGGTAAAGGCGATGGGGTCTGCGGTGCCCAGGCTGTGGATGGGGAGGGCCTGGGTGGGAGATGCTGACGGGTCGCTACCACGCTCTCAGGTCATTCGGGAGTTTCCCCACCTTAAGGAGTTTGGACGTCATCCTAAAAGCTATGGCTATCTCTGAAGGGCTGTGGGTGCAGCATGCTGTGTTTTAGGAAGAGGACACGAACAGCTGTGGGATGATGGGCTGGCCCAAGTAAGCCTGGGACCGAGAGAGCCCGCTGGGGGCTGCTGTGGTGGTGTGAGTGAGCAGGTCCTGAATGAAGCAGGACCGAGGGGAGGTGGAGGTACCTGGGAGGGAAAATCGGCCAGCGGGGGTGGTTCTTCTGGAGGTGGATTGTATGTACCTTTTGTGCCATAATTATTTCTTGAGTCAATCCTAGAATCTTAGATTATTAGATCTGTAGGAAAGCTCCTCGAGTCCAATTATTTTCAGGTGTGAGGAGATGAAGTGAAAAGGTCCAGGCTCCTAATTTCTTGACTGTAAAGTTCACAGTTAGAAGGTCAATCGCCTTTCCGCTCAGTTGTGAGGTTTATGCTTTTTGCTGTACAGATGACCTCCTTGGACTGATTCTCTCGGCACTTGTACATCTTATAAGATTCTGAGTCGACGAGACATCATTGAGCTAGGGAGAAATTGGTATTTAGTTGTATCAATATTGACTATCTAAAAACCAAAGGGCCAACTTCAACCCATACATAGAAGTCGGCCCTTCTCCGAAATGTTAGAGATGCTGTTCCCAAGGACAGAGCAAATGTTTCACTGAGCAAGTAAATGACACAATTTAAATTTCTTGAGGAGGGAAGGACGAAAACCTTCCTTAGGTTCTAAACTATCTAGCATTTTGAAAGAGAGAGGTATTCTTCATAAGACAGTATCAGACTCAAGTGAAACTATCCCTTTAAGCACCCATGTTTAAAAATTTTAACCGCTGTTGATTAGACTCTCTTGGAGACTGATTATGCATATCTCTGAGCCATCATCCTGAATATTATGGATTACACTCGACTTTGTTCAAAAATAGTCGTAGCTTATATTTCAACGTGCACTTGGGTCTCGGACACGCATTAACTCTTTTCGTCTTTAGCATTACTCTCGTCCATTTTTAGAGATGGGAAAGAAAACAGGCACAGAGAGGTTAAACAACTTAACCAAAGCCGCACAGTTATGGCGGAGTGGAGATCAGACTCTGGGCAGTCAGCCTCCTGTACCTTGTACCCTTATGATCAAAATGGCCCTAACAGTTATGATGCTTGTCACACTGTAACCATTGTCTGTCCCTGAGCAACCCCCACCCTAGTGGTCCCTCTCTGAGCTGCCCTTGGGGGAGGGGCTGGAGTCACATACCCACGCCTGCGGATTCTGTGTTTAAAGGAAGAGCAGGACCCTTCGAGGTCAGGCCAGAGAGAGGTTCTTCCCTGGCCCGGAGAATCATCTCTTTGCCCAGTGGGTTTTGTGGCAAATATTCGAGTTAATCAAGTGCTCATGTTTGTCTCATTTCTTAATTCTTGGTTGTTTTCCTGATACAGTGAAGGTTGCTGGGTAAGAATGAAGTATTGCCATGGTCTAAAACTGGCATTTTTAAAGTTAAGTTTTAAGAAGTATTTATGTTTATTTATTTATTTTAGAGAGAGAGAGAGATTGGGGATGGGAGGGAGTAGAGAGAGAGAGAATCCTAAGCAGGCTCCACACCCAGAGCCTGATGCGGGGCTCGATCTCAAGACCCTGAGATCATGACCTGCCATTAGGAGTCAGAACTTAACCAACTGAGCCACCCGGTGCCCCTTTTAAGAGGTATTTAAATCGATGATATATATCACTATGTATGATATATATATATTCCTATCTACATAGGTATCTACAAGCGGCATTATGTTGATATTGGTGAAACTATAATATTCCCTTTTGAATTTTTATATTAAAACTATCTCTTAAACAGCTTTTATATGGCTGCATAGTATTTTTAATGATTTTAATAAATACAAAATATCCATCAAGTCCATATACTTTAGCGAAACCGTCTCCTATTGCTGTCCTGGGTTCATTTCCACCTTCATGTCTGTGCAATGTTAGGTGTACAAGGCAGAATGCCTTTCCCAAAGCCAGTGGGACTTTAAAATCAACAGCATTTTAGTGGGATATTAAAATGGAAAACTATTTAGGATGGAAAAATTATGTGAGGAGAGCTGACAGTTTGGGTTTGGGTTGTATTAAGTTATTTAATCCGATTCTAGTTTTCTTTCTTTTTTTTTTAAATTTTTAAAAAGATTTTATTTATTTATTTGACAGACAGAGATCACAGAGAAGCAGGAAGAGAGAGAGGAAGAAGCAGGCTCCCTGCTGAGCAGAGAGCCCGATGAGGGGCTCAATCCCAGGACCCTGGGATCATGACCTGAGCCAAAGGCAGAGGCTTTAACCCACTGAGCCACCCAGGCGCCACCAATTCTAGTCTTCTAACAGTGCAGTGCTATCTCTGGTCCTTGGTGCTCTGGTAGCTCGAGGAGGTGCCCTGCACGGCTGGTCCGTGCGCTCAGCTCGGGCCACGTGCCATTCGAGGTGCTGGGTGTACGTAGTGACTCAGACGGGCAGAAGCTCTGCTACCATTCTGATGACAGTAAGTCCACCAGGGAACAAAATAAAGTACAAAGAACAATAAAAGCAGGGGCACCTGGTCCGTTAAGGGTCTGACTCTTGATTTTGGCTCAGGTCATGATCTCAGGGTCGTGAGATTGAGTCCCACGTCGGACTCTGTGCTCTGTGTGGAGTCTGCTTGGGATTCTGTCTGTCCCACTCCCTCTGACCCTCCCCCCCAGTGCCTCTCTCTCAAATTAAAAAAAGAACAGTACAGCAGCAGGGGCTGGGGAGAACAGGAGTGGGTCCAGGTTGTCCTTATTTTAATAGATGGGCAGGGATGGTGTCACTGAGGGGTAGTACTTGGGAAAGCTGTGGAGGAGGTGAGGACTGCCCCACTTCTGTGGGAACTGCTGTTCCAAGCTGAGGGGTCAGCCAGTCAGAGGTCCTGGGGTGGAGCCTGGAGGGTCTGCCCCGAGAGCAGCGGGTTGGGCGGTGTGGTTGGAGTGGAGAGGGCAAGGTCAGGGTAGCGGGAGACAGGCTGGTGCCCAGGATGGGCGCCCAGTGTCTAGGCAGAGCATCATGGTCCTCTGGCCACTGTTAGGCCATTGGCCCACTGACACAGAGGTCTTTGTAAGTGCTTGGGGCTCAGGGGGAGCCGAGCAGAGCATGGGAGCTGAGCGTGGGAGCCGGCAGAACAGAGGCGCGTGGAGGGTCGATCAGAACACCAGTAACAACGATGCCAGCTAACACCCTCGTGTGTGCCAGGCAAGCACTGCTGCGGGTGTGTATGTGTGTGAGCTTGTGTGAGAGGAGCCAAGGACCCGGCCCTGCTGTGT